AACGGCCGTCGGCCAAAGTCCTACATAGCCAACGGCTGATACAGGACTATAATGGAATAATAATAATAATAATAAATCTTAAAATTCTCTTATAAAATAGTTCCTAAAAGGCCGGAGCTAACTATCTATATATAAGTATAAATAGTACACTTTTAAGAGTAGATATTTCTTTTAAGATACTTATAAGGTAGTACGCGTAATTAAAGCTTATACTTCTAAGGTTATACCAGCGCACTTCTAAGGTAAGATTTCCTACGCACAGGCCAATTTTCAAGCACTTTTAATAGCGAAGCCAACAACCTAATATATATAGGCCCTAGGATAATATCTACTAACTAGTATTAATCCTAATATATATAGGTTAATAACTAGAGCTTTCCTAATTAGGGTTAGCGTCAATACCCAGAGTAAGAAACTTAGACCCTTACTTAATATCCACTAGATATTGTTATACCTAATATATATAGTAAAAATAGAGAAAAATGTTAAGTGATAAAGAGAGTAGATATAAAGTAAACTTTAGATAAGCTTCTATTAATATACCGCGAAGATTAGGCTAACTACAGCGGAACAAATAGCTAGAACAGGCAGGAAAGAGTAGCTAGCTCTAGTAAATCCAGTAAAGCAGCTTCGTAAGCTAGAGCCACGAAAAGCAAAGCGTATTAAGTAAAGAACGAACAAGAAGCAAAGGGAAGACAGCAGGCCAAGGGGGCAGCGCAGGTGGCGCGGGAGGCAGCTCAGTAAGCTGGCTGGATCTGTTGTCCATTGGGCCGGGGGCCTGACACTAATGTTGTTTACTATTTCACGGATTAGTTAGCTGAGATGAATTGAAGAGGTGCCACTTATATTACGTACCCTAATGTGGCAACCGGAGATATTCGAGTAGTAACCAGCAGCGCCCAAACCAGCACAGCCAGTCATTGTAAGAACAATGTATGGAGGAGCAGCAGCAGCTGTTTTCATTTCGCGGAATGCAACAGCAGCGCAGTTGCCAATCGTTGCGATGGCGAGACTAACGTTGGTAACGAAGCATTGTCTGCAAGCGTCAGGGTGCGGGGCACTTGCGCATGAAAACATAGATTGCGAGCTGTCTGTTTTGACCTGGGCCACCTTGTTGTTTTCCACGTTTGTGATAGCAGCGTCATCAGCAGCTGATTCACGGCGACTCAATCCGGTTTCACGACGACTCAATCCGGTTTCACGACGACTAACCCGACCACTGATCATGTCATTGTAGGCGGTCTCAGACTTCTTCAACATCTTTTCTTCGTCGATTGTACCACCGCACTGGATTCCAGGAATCTTCATGCCATCTTGAACCGTTTGAGCCCAGTCAATTCCCCCAGCAGAAATGTTCCTTGGAATAGCAGGACCTCCCACAGTGCAGACGATGCCGGGGGCGATATCCTGGATATGTTTTTCGATTCTGGACCAAACCAACTGACTGTGTTGGAGGGTTGCGGACTGAGCAACAGGCGTAACAGGTTGCTGGGCTTGAACTCCGAGAGCAAGGCCCAAGGTGATAGCGAAGATCTTAGAGGAGAACATGTTCCCGATGATAAGGAGGATGTAATTTGAGTGAAGGTTTGATAGTAGAAATGACTTGAGACTGTTTGGCGATACAAGTTGCAGAGGGACAGACTACAGTATTTATATTCCTTTTATGGCCTTACTGACTTGCATTCACTACCTTGTAATAACCCATAATTAAGCGACTAATAACGCTTTTGGTGCTTCAATGGTCAGCTCGGAAATGAGAGCCACAGTCCCAATCCTGTGGCCATCAGTTTCGACAGGGTATGCATCCTTTGGATACGACAACGAATGGAGTCCATTCCTATTACAAGCACATCAAGCACGAAAATGTCAAGTATCCCGACCATGGTAGTCTCATGCAAGCATGCGTTAAAACGGCTGAATAGAATTTTCAAGTCATAAACATGCCTGCATTAAGGGGTATGGACCGATGCAGAGGCGATTCGATACACCGATTGGAGAGACATAGAATAAACAAGACCGATATGAAGATCAGCAGCCGCTATGAAGCGGGATTTGTCCGTATTGATGACTGGGTAAGAGCCTGGTTCGTGTTGGCACATCCTGTGGCATATTCTATAGATTGTATCTTTCAAAATATCTCATAGTGTTCCTATTGTTTTAGTGTGTGTGACCGAGCTAGAGCCGGTGTCAAATGGTTAGGGCTTACACCTGACCAACTAGCTACTCACAATTCACTCCCCTATACGAGTTACCAGCCGGTTTATTTAATACCGCAGTACTAAATGAGGATAGTACTGGTTTGGATATTCGGCGATACTACTCTAGTATTCCGGCTTAACACTGAAGTTGTGATATGGAGTCACCATTCACAGCCGGGAAGGAATGTATAAATTGAGCTGAATTCTTTCTATTTTGAATCCACCATCAACATTCAGTACTCTCACAACATCTTCTAAGTCCTACACTATCCATCTTTTCAAATTGACAGCTTTCTAGCTCAAAACTTGTTACCTTCATCATCATGCAGTTCTCCGCTACTACCATTGTCCTTGCCATGGCTTATCTTGCTGGGTAAGTCCAGTACCTCCAGCGAAATGAAAAATTCTCTAACGATTCTGAAATAGCATCGGTGCTGGAGCCGCCATTCCTCAGGCTTCGTCGAACCAGCTCGTTGCTCGTGACCATCACGAGCACTGTGCTTGTCAAGTTGCCACGAATGGCGAGGTCGACAACGTAACTACTTCGCTTGTGCTTGCCAATAACTCCTGGAGATGGCACCAAGGTACGTTTCTCTATAGGTTTCGTTCAAGAGGATATTGAAACTTACGACATGCAGAGCAATTTCCCGAGCAAACTAGCCAAGGTGCTCACTACGAGGGCTATTATGTAAGTCATTTCCTTAGCAAATCGACAGAACACACAGTAACATGAATTTAGCTTGTCGCCAACTCTGGAAAGATTAACGGAGATACCTTCTACAACGAGTGCAGGGCCGTCGGTGCTGCTGATTCTACCTGCTTCTAGGCACAGAATTGGCAACGTTTGAGTTCTTCGGAGCTAGATTGTGGGTATGGATTTAGCTGCCCCTTTTGGGAATAGGTCTCACTGGCTCGATTGTGGACCTCAATTTCATCAGCTAGCTTTTGGTTTCAATTCTTTAAAAGTGTTATTATCAATTGCGACTTTATCTGTACAGGCGGTATTCTCAACTGCTTATAGGGGTAAAGCCGCAATCGTTAATGACTGTATTTAGTATTTGTTTAGGATTTAATACGAGATAGTGCGTTAAAGAAAGGCCATTGCTCTTATGCAAGTGATGCAGTGATGAAGTGATGTTACTGACCGATATGATGGCGGGCGTCAGCACTAATAGTTACTATGCTTGTTCCCAGGCTGACTACAGAATACCAATGAAGCTAGACACAGCAGGCTAAGTGGAATAGCCTACGGAGAGATTTAGTAACCCCTGATGAATAGGTTCCTGCTGTAGACATTATATTAAACCGCGCATAGAAAACACTACTTTATATTGACATCATAATTATTACTGTCAAAGGTCAAAACCAATGTCGGCAATGAGAGTGCGAGTATCATTTAGCAGCTTAATATGAACAAGCGTAGAGATATGGCATTGTATGCAGAAAGAAGGCCGTGAACCTGCTCCTTAGTTTGAGCAATACGAGATGGACCTCTCCACAGGTCCTTTTAGGATTATAACGTGTCAACTACACACGTGTTACCTTTGACATTTTGGAACTAACTTAATTTTACATTATACGGCATGCGCACAGAATTGATGTTTTGCATCATGTTCAAATAATCCACTTAGCGATTGGAGTTATTAGTGAGACGATCTCTCATAGTAGGCCCTATAAGACAATGCATGGGTAATGAAATCTTTGCTAACAAAGTAAGCACCCTATTTTTCTAGTTTTGAACCCTAGTAGGGTGCTTATCTCTTTTGTATGATAGGTGCACGAAACTCTTTAACAGTACGTGCGCACGTGATACATATAGTCGGATCTACGGTGAAATCTTCAACGGTGTTATTTAGAACTCCCATGACTCCCATGACTCGGTCTCGTATTCAGTAGCCACTTTTCCAGCCACAGCTTTGGACCCACAGTGGGTCTTTTCTACAACTACGAAGTAAGCATCTTGCGTGTATCTTGGGAATATTTTCACCACTGTTACCGGTGCGTAGATCTGCGCACCCCTATAGCGGACTCAATATGCGCTGCAAAACTAAGACACTATTCCAATTCCTGAATGAAATTGACTCGATCTCTTGGGGACACAATTAGCTTCCGTAATGAATCAGTAAAGGTGAGTTTCAGATCCTCTTAGGTGTACTGAAGGGCTGCAATAGCACCCTTTTCACGCATATAGTATCCTTATCATCGCTCTACTTCCCGCGAAGATTATCCTGATCGATGAAACGGGTAGCTCATGATCGCGTGTCTCCTTACTAATATGGACTCCGAATATGGCATTGTTACGCGATTCTATATGAACTCGCGAAAGCCCTGGCCTGTAAATAAGCAATGCACAGAAACACTATTGCGCAAGATACGCATGTAAATAAGCACTGTTACGCAAAACAAGCATCACACGTAAGCACTATTGCGCAACATAAGCGTTGCACATGACTATCCGTAGATAGGCGAAGATCGGCACGACTTCTTTCGTTCCACTTTCCGTTTGCTATAATATCACACCGACGGCGCAACAGAATCTTACATCGTGAACGCACAAGTGGAAATAAAGAACTAAACTACTTTGGCAAGTACAACCCCGCCCAGAGAAGCAATTTTAGGTGTCGAATATGACAGATCTGCGAGACTGAAAGATTCCAGATATCGGTCATGTGGAGACGACAATGGATGGCACGACTGGTAAGAACAGCGGATTTCTTTTCGCACATGGCTATCACAGTGGATTAAGTGATGGGAATTGGGCATGTGGAATCGTCAGTGTTGCTTTGATTGCTAACACAAAAGGCTTCCTCCAATGTATAATACATAACGTGGTTCACAAGTGAGTCAGCCACTTTGTACCCGCGCATAATGTCATGATATTACAGACTTTTGTAATAGGCAATAAACCATCAACATAAACTCAATAAATTTGTATAAATTTGTTACTACTATTACTTATATAATCTATCTTAACTATATAGGCGCGGCTATTATATCTAGTTGCTAGTTCTTAATAGGAGTGGAGGAAAAGTCAAGCTCAGATAAAGTCAGTTCAGTGGACAAAAGGATGAATTATCTTTCGAGCTCGAGGTTCACTCGAGCTCAGCTTTTATCCACTTATATCGGATATACAATACTCCATCTCCATCATCCTATAGTGGCTAAGTATCGGCCCGTTGGGGATAACCCTCGGTTCCAGCTCCTTCACTATCATCATTTCCCATTTCAGCTCAGGCTTCAGTGATGCGTACAGGCTCCGCCGCGATAATAGGTAATAGCAGTGAGGAAGAACTATAAACCGAGTGGCATGGCTTTCAGAGCAGCGCGCCCTGTCGTTGATGCTGGGTAGGGACAACATACACGATAGCTACATGGGATGCATATCACTAGATAGGAATTATAGTAGAAAGCGGCGATAGTGTTGATATTTGTTGCCAGCGAATGTATTCCCTGTGGGGATGCGGGGTTCCGTGTGGGAAGCAGAAGACCATATGGGGTAGAATTTTAGATAACACGTATATCATCGGGGTCGTCCTTAGGTTTGTATAAAACATTTGATTGGTGCAGAATATTTCAGACACTCCTTTGCACCAACTCTTTCACAAAGTCTCAAATCAACATAACCTATGCCGAAAATATCAGACCAACCCGTCCAAGAAGGGCAAGTTTCGGATCTACCTAGTCTAAACCTAATCCTAACACCACTTAGCTCCGGCCTTTCTAGAACATTTTTATAAAATAAAATTCTAGGTTTTATTAGAACTAGTTATATAGATATTTAAATAAGTAACCATACGCGCCTATTCTTAGCTCTACTTTTTGATACTGTTAGGAGCTAAGAGTTATTACATTACTTAGGTCTATATAGTGTGGCAGAGCTTAAGTGCCTACTTATAGTGTCCGTACTCTCACTAAGCTAAGATAGGGTAGGTATATAACCTACCCCATAACATCTACTTATTAATATTATTATACGTCTATATAAGTAATAGGTTTATAACTATTTTTTTCTCTTTAGCTATAAATACTTACCTCTTAACTAAAAACTATAAAATTAAATTTATTTATACTAAATTTTCTTTACTCTATAACTTCTTATAAAGGTTTCTTTATTTAATTATTCGTTTTTTAGTCTTACTAGTGTTATTAAGAAAGTTAATATTATTACCAAGCTAATAATAACTATGTATTTAGTAGTTTTAATTCATATTAACCTATTATACTTAGATCTAAAAATAAATTATATAAGTAGAAATATTACTTAAATAAATATACTAATTAATAATATTAATACTAGTTTTGTAAAGAAAGTATCGTAGGGAGGATATAATACTTTCTTTATTAAAATAAAGAATAGCTTATATAAGAATTTTATAAGAATAAGATTACGTAATATATTACTAATATAGTA